GGTTTTTACACAGCTCTTGCCATACAACTAGGGGTTTTCAGAGTCAAACATGATATTTAACGTTCTGGATGTGAATGTTGAGTAGACACAAGCTTGGTGGATGGCAAGATTGTTAGTAAGCCATGACAAGTAAATTACTTCATTGCACTACATCTTTAGTATGCTTTGGATGTATAAGTGAGAGTTGACAAATTAATCTGGATAGTAGACTATGGACTGAAGTACATGTTACACTGTCAGAAAAGACTGACCTTAGAAAGAACGTAAGTACAGTCTCCATGAAAACTGTAAGTCCTCCCATCATAAGTGGTAATATGGGAACCACCTTCTACAGAGCAAGTCCCTGGGCAATCTCTGTCTTCGCAGCTCCATAGATTATCGATACAAGTGCTTCATGGTGAATACAGTTTAAATAAACTGTTAGGTTTCTTTGTCCAAAAAATATAAATAAAAACTTTTTCCACTATAACAAGAAACAGTACACTCTTAAAAATAAAGGTGCTTCACGATGCCATAGAAGAACCTGTTTGTCTAAATGGTTCCATAAAGAACCTTCAACATCTGAAGAACCTTTCTGTTCCACAAAAGCTTCTTTGTGGCGAAAGAAGGTTAAAAAAGATTGTAAGAAAGAGATGGTTCTTTAAAGAAGCTTTGACTGGATGGTTCTTTGTGGAACCAAAAATGGTTCTTCTATGGCATCGCTTGAAGAACCTTTTGAAGCACCTTTATTTTTAAGAGTGTATAATATCAGAGGAAAACAATCGGAAGGTAATGAAGAGGTACAAAATAAAGCAATATATATATATATAATCACCATTCTTTACAGTTACTTCTGTAAGTCTGTCCAGGTTCATATATTTTTCCATTGTGGATGCAGGGACACTGATTCTGGGCAATACAGCCTCTATCAGAGAGGTCATCAAACAGGTATCCTATAACACAGTATATCATAGCAATCTGAGCAATGCCATTTGCATGAAAAAAAATATCTATAAAAGCAAGCAACTGTACATTTAAAATCAGATTGTACCTTCAGGACAGAAACACCCTTCGATGCATTGGTCCTCACAAATATGGCTTCTGTCAGGGTTTGAACAAGTGTTGATACAAGGGTTTCCGCATTCTTCATGCACCATATTGTGGAAAGGACACGATTTATCTAAAAATAGATAAATGATGTTAAAGCCATTCAGACTTAAAGTTCAAACAGATTTGGAACAGGCTGCTGAAAAGTTTTAACTTACCGCAGAACTGCTCAGTCGTCCACGGGTCAGGCTTTCCACCCGC